TATTGTACTTGTGTGTTGGAAGTGAGTATATTCTAGCAAACTCACTCACAAGCGTTGGTGTGCATTCTTCGCTACTTGCAAGGAATAGCAGCATTACCTTCGTTCTATCAATCATAGCACGTTCGCGAATGGCGTAATGAATAGTGTCAACTTGGCCTGACGTTCTGTCAATAATTTGTGAGCAAGGAATCCATTCAAGTCTTAATTCTTTTTCGCTTTCCAACGAGGATTGAATCAAGTCGTCAATTGCTGGACTACGCATGTCCCTAACTTTTGGAACTAGCGACAACGACATCGCTTGGTACTTAACTGAAATGTGCTATAACACTTAAAAAAGGAGTTTTGAAACAAAATTCTTATAGCTAGCGTAAACCAATATGCTTATTACGGGGGGTATGCTATTGATAGAAAAACTCAGGTGACGGAGATTACTATCACTACAGCACTATATGTAAATTGGCATGTCGATCACCACTATTAACAGCCCCTGAGTCACGAAACTGGATTTGTGCGACATTCGAATATACAAAACGCGTTTATCAACGTCCGTCTTCAAACTACCATGGCTGATGATGGAGATTATCTACAAAACACTTCGCCTACGTTATGGAATCTTGATGGATTCGCTGATTGATGCGTGCTTACGAGAAGCTCGAAAGAAACAAAATGAAGATCCTGGACTACATGAAGAAAGGACTCACAAACGTTATTAACAACAATATGATTAAGAATGATATACGGCAGAAAGCCACTGAACTATTCAAAGACTTTAAGGTATTATGTATAATGTTTGAAGCGAGAGGATAGGACTTGTATATCATAAGGCAACTATTAGTTGTATTTTGCTGTACAGTCTGAAGAGGTAATGGAGACATTGGACTGAGCCAGGGGACTATTAGTCAACTGGAAGATCGACTATTAGTCTGTTCTTTTCTCTAGCCTCCTGTGGCACACTGGAGAACTATTAGTTGTCCAGTGTTGAACTATTAGTTCGCCATGGCCATGTTAGGTCTTGATCAGTTTATATATCATTCAGTCCTTTATGCTTCCAGACATGGAAATCCTCAAGAAAAACTACAAATTACTTCCAATTGATCGAGGATTCTGTTCAGATACAGAAGAAGTTGAAAATGAGAAGATTATTGTGCTGGCTGAAATACAACGCATTAAGGTATCGCTCTCTTTTCTTTTGTGAGATTGTTTACAACATCAATATCAAAACGTTTCTGATTTATGCTACAGGTTACTCAAACTCGGAATCACGTAGAATCAACAATGAAAATTCATCAACAAATTACTGATGACATCGTAGCATTTCGTCAGAACCAGAATAACGACTCATCTCAAACTGGATATCACACACCCGAACCATATATTACATCGGAAGAGGAAGAAGAAAACTCATCCTATTATAAGTCGCCAAGGCGCGTTCGTAAGCGACCAGAACTAAACCCTTTCATAGCTGATTCAGGGGAAATTAATAACGGCTGTGATTTACAAGATAGTGATGATGAATATAATGCTGATCAGACAATCGTTGGCGGAAAAGGCGTCGAGTGGATTGTAAACGGTATTTGCATTAGGGAAAGGCTCACACAATACCGGCTACGGAAGAACCCTTTAAAAACGAGGTGTGGAATATTATGATGTCATATTCTTTAACTCTAACGATAAAGATGGGTTTTTAGCAACTTTAGACGAAAATATTGTAGAACAGATGCTTAATGATATAAGAAGGAACGAAGATACAACAGAAAATAATGCAGGACATGATTTTAAGCTATTTTTGAATACTATTATTGATCGCGATATCAAGAAAACAAAGGAAACCCTCGAAAAGAAAATAGACGTCTCTTCATTTGAGACAAAGTTTGCGTTGAATTTTGTAAGGTTAATGTAAGTGTACATTAAACTTGATCTTCCATGATAAACGCAATGAGACTAACTTGATGCTCTTATATAGGGTAAATTTAATGAAAAATGTGAATTTGCTTCTTGATGAAATGTCTGAGGAAACATACATAGTTAATGTACTAGGTCCGAGTTTTTTATTAAAAACAAACAAAGTTGGTATGCATCTTACGGGGAAACATGCCTGAAAACAAGCGCAAAAGATCGTAATTCGCAAAAACCAGATAATGAACGCCGATCCACCGGGAGAAAAATAGATGCTATTATAACACTGAGAGAAGAGGATGAGGAATTTTCCATAATCGAAGTTAGCGGTCCACCAGCGAAGAAGGACTGGTCGCATTTTAAGGATGATAGGATGAAGCTTACAAAAATGCTAAAAACCTTAATAAATCGATTGGCGGAATTAAGACCAAATTCTTATATCACATCAGTTAGGTTGTATGGGTTACAGTCATATTGTAAGTTTTGTTTTATTAAGAACATTATTCACTATTATATTATCATGTAATACTAACCCTTGAAGACGTAGTGAACGAATTTATAGTTTATGAATTTCAGCTAAAATATGCTGAGATTTATACGATGAAGCCAGTGCTAAAATTTCGTTTACCAAAAACGTGGAAAGACATGGTGAAAGCTCATGAAATTGTGATGAGCTTGTTGAAATACGAGGTTCGTATGAATAAATTCACAAAATAAACCGCAGAAAATTAATATTTTGATTTCCCGTAAATTAGTCTCTGTTATCCGAAAGCGCAAGCACTATACGAGACTTTTTGTGGGCCGAAGGTAATAAAGTCAACTCTTCCAAGAAAATGACAACTCGAATTATCCATACTCCTCTCAAAGGCGGGAAACGAACTGAAGGCACCGAAATTACGAAAAGAAAGAGAATGCGTGCAAACTAATCTTGTGTCACGGGATTCTCTATTGAAATAAAATGCAATCGACCTGTGTATCAATCAGCTCTTCCCCTATAATTAAAAATGTTCCAATGTCAAATCCGCGATACTCACATTAGTTGATATTAACTCGCTTTAGAGTCCCTATCAGCAAATCACATGAATGGAATTAGTATAGTCACGTGTGATTATGCGTCTCTGCCTATTAGACATCAGGCAATCAACACAGTACTTCTAGCTGATCCAGTTTCAGCCAACGGGGTATTTGATTATTTGACCCAAATTTATCGAGGACCGTTTGTTTACAATGAATGCTTTCGAGCAAAATACCATATTATAGCACTCGTCGGAACGAAATAAATCGGCGAGAAGACATCCATATTTTGTTTGCAGTGTGTCACATGTCGATCCTCGGATCTAATATTACCGTAATAATGGGCGAATGTTTGGTTGCGCCTTAAAAACAATGCAACATGATCTACGAATCGTCACGTAACAACTACCCACGTTATCTCTGTTTATTACATAATCACGAACTGCCATATGATTTTCAAACCCGTCTTTCTTAATATAGTTCGCATTACAGTCATACCTCGTTTATATCCCCACTTTGGGACAGAACTTTTTTGGGGATATATTCGAGGTGGGATACAACTGA